AAGCAAGCATACCGCATCGTTAAGGTTCAGATCCCGCGACATAAAGTCGAAGACCCCTGGTTACGCTGGTACCGGAAGTCTTCGGACGACGATGACGGGAAGAAAGGGGACGGAACGCCCGTGACTGTGCATTGTGCCTACATCGACTTTGATGGGAAGCAGTTCGGCTCAGTCCCTGTCAAGTTTAGTATCCCGCCGTTCGGAGGACTCAAGGACATTAAGTCCCTGCCTATTTACCCTTTGCGACTCGCTAAGGATGCCAACTTACGCAACAGCCTTGTAGCGCGGGGCAAAATGCTGATCAACATTGCTACCTTCAAGCCTATGTATTACATGGGCTTGACTCTCGACACGCGAGAGGAGGTCGACAGCCAGGTCGTTGTCGACTTTAACGAGGCTCTTGCGGACATAAAACGTAAACAGTGGGCACCTTCTATTGAGTCGCTGCGTACCGCGCCTGACGAGCCCGATAATTACTACTGTGACGCGGCTTGCTGTTTTCGCCAAGCCGTGATTCAAGATGACCACATCGACTCAGAGTTGACACAAGAATTTGTCAAGAGTTTGGTTCCCGATGCCTCATTCCGCCCCCCGTCATTGATCCTCTCGCCTCGCCCACTGGAAGAGGCATTGCCTGGTACAAATGATGAGCCGACGGATGATGAGTTGGTCGTGATGACATACCGAGTGTTTGGCTTTATACTGCGGAGCCGTAAATGGGGTTAGTTTATTTGTCTCCGCCGATAAGGTATGCTGCTCTAACAGGATTCATGTTCACAGCTCAGCTCGACCTCACCTTCTTAAAGTACGAAAATACAGATGCTCGGAACTCAGCTCTCAGTGCCTTTGACCGACTCGAGCTTCCAGACGGCCACCGCGAGATGGTCAAATCGTTGGTCACACAGCACTTCCGTGACAGACAAAGTGCGTCTGCGAGAGATGAGCAGACTGATCTAATAAGAGGAAAGGGTGAGTTCATCACCTTTCAATTACCCATTCTACTTACCATCGCTGATCATGTCGTTTTAGGTAAGGGGCTTATTCTGCTCCTCCACGGGGCTCCTGGCGTGGGCAAAACTACAACTGCTGGTTCGTAAAACACATACAGCCCACTGGGGGGTTTATAACTTTTAACGTCCATATAGAAGGTGTGGCAGAATTGTTTCAAAAGCCACTGTTCCAGATAACTTGCGGTAACTCAACAGGATCCTCTTCAACTCTGAAGTATTGAGGCTGACTGTTAGTAGGTGATCTTGGAACGACCGCTCGAGAGGTCGAGTTCGAGTTGGAGAAAAACTTCGCCTTAGCCAGTCGATGGGGATGCATTTTGCTCCTCGATGAGGCCGATGTTTTCCTGTCTGCTCGTGAGCGTAAGGACTTTGAACGTAACGGCTTAGTCGCAGGTAAGGGTCATGCCATAGCCATTCCCACGGCATTAGATAACATGATCATCAAGTATTCCTCCGTGTGCTAGAGTACTACACCGGCATCCTCTTCCTCACAACCAACCGCATCGGCGACTTTGACGAGGCCTTTGCTTCTCGCATCCATATGAGCCTGTACTACCCCGAACTCGACGAAGCGAAGACTAAAAAGGTCTTCAAGCTCAACCTCGACCTCATCCAAGAACGCTTCGACAAGCAGGGGCGCAGGATCATGTACGATGCGTCGTCGATTGAAGACTTTGCTACAAAGCACTTCAGCGAGCACCCATACAGTCGGTGGAACGGGCGGCAGATCCGCAACGCGTGCCAGACGGCGCTAGCGCTGGCCGAGTTCGACGCGCAAGGCGGCAAGATCCAAGGCGAGATCGATAACAAAATCGAGGTAAAGCTTCAGCTCAAGCATTTCCAGCTCGTGCAGACGGCCTATCTCGACTTTGGGCGCTATCTCGGCGATATCCGTGGCACCCAAGGCGACCGTCGCGCCATCGATTATGGCCTCCGCGCAAAATCCGACACGCCCTATCAAACGACCCCTAGTCGATTCTCATCAGCCATGAGAGACAGCCACCATTCGAGCTCGCTGTCGGCCGAGTATAACCAGAGTAGCGACCCGTTTCAGTCGTTTACGAACCAGGGCGTCGGTGGGCCTGGTAGCGGGTACGGAGTAGCTAGAACCTCAAACATGGAGTATCAAACTTACGGACAATACGGTCCGCAACAGGGACAGATGGGGCCGGGCGGCGGGTACAACAGGTACGAGAACCCACAGGTTCACGGCTACATGCACCCGGGGATTCAACAGGGACAGATGGATCCGAGGCGATACCAGCAATTCAATCCACAGGGACAAGGTCCTCAAGGACAGTACTACCAGGAACAGCCGCAGTATAACATACAGCACGGGGGAGGGGGAGTGGGAGGGAGAGTGGGAGGGGGAGGAGGAGGAGGAGGAGGAGGTGTGCAGAACCCGACGATGCCTGGTGATTTTGTAGCACAGAATCAATACTCACGTGGACCAGGAAGTGGTGGTCCTGAAGGCGGCGGTTCTGCTTAATCTTCGAATAAACTATCTATAAGCAATAAAAGTGTTCTTGGATAAGAATGATCTAATTATTGCATAAGCATTTAGACTTGCTTAACAAATATGCACGCTGATTGATCACTTATACTACTTAGGTAGCCATCACAGGTACTACCACAAGTCCATCTCTTCTTTCTTCCAACGTTCAACAACTCTCAATCGCCATCCCTGCTCCCACTGTTGTCCTGTGTCCCAAAAAAAATAAAAATAAAAGAAAAGAAAAACTTGCAATTTATATCCTAGCTATTAGGCGTAGAGATCAGCAAAAATGGTCCGTAAATTAGCCGAGTGTAAGAGAAGATATGAACCATAGTATATGAGAACATAACCTTTTACGGAGGCTTCCAAGTCACCTACTCTATTACTTTAACAACACCAATATCTGTACACTACTATTTGAGCTCTGTTGTTTACCCCTCTCTGTGTCGTTAGCTCTTCTTCTACCATACCGTTGGGTGTTAAGTTTTAAAATTCCTTTGGTCGTCGAGCAGACGTTGACGAGCAGCTGTATACTCGTGTGATGTTGGCTCAATATCGTCGTAAACCTCTTGATCAGCCCGCTTTAGGTAATGCTGAGAAAATAGCAATATGGATAGGGATGTTGTTGTATTAGAAAGGAGGTCAGAGACCGTAAAATTCCAAGCTAAATACAATGGGAGCTTAACTTTGCCTTCTCTCGACCTTTAACGCCTTCGCACCTACCTACTTATAACTGACTAAGAGCTTAGCATCATCATGGACGATCGCCGCCGCTGCTCCTCGCGCCCGCCTGTCCGCTCTCCCTCCTCCTCTGCTGTCAACCTATTAGAAAAACCTCTTCCTGATTATTTGTCTCACAATAATGCAAAAATAAAAACATGACCGGAGGCCTAAGGTCGGTTACCCAAATGGGAATTGACTGACTGACTGCGTGTTCAGCACACATATGTGCTCCGCCCATTACACATTGGATCAAGATGGACACCAGCAACAAAATAAAAAAATATGCATCAGCCGTGAATCGAACACGGGGCCCATCGATGGCAACGATGGATTTTACCACTAAACCACTGATGCTGAGATAGTATATTGGAACCTCGGAAACCCAGGTGTTGTGGAATTCGACGGCCACCGATTACTATGCCAGTCTCGTAGGATCCCGCCCCTTAACTCAGTGGCTGTTGGATGTGGGCTTGATATGAAATCTATGTATGATAGCTTGTGCGCCAGAGGAGAGGAGCAGAGTTCGTGACGTGCGCTTCAGACGCCATCTTGCAGAATGCGAACCCGAGCACCAGCTTGATACATCTAGCAATACCCCATGTCGCCTATCTCGAATGCGAATGCAAGATTGTATCTCTAGAGGTAATGATCGCAGCGTATATCTGCATTATCGCCATAAGATAAACCGCTTTATTCTCTCAAGAGCCTGCTTCCATAGGCTCGTACGTTTCTCCTGACTTTCAGCATTGTCCAAAACCCACTGCACGGCAGCGATGACTTCATCCGGACGATCCCGAATTACATTGTGTCCGCAATCTGGAATGTGTATGAATCGACTCTTCCTCGAGAGACCAAGTTGTCTCCGCTTGAGCCGCTCGTCCTCGGCATCAACACGGAGGAGCATCTCCCGCTCAGCCGCTAGCATTTGCCTCCGTACTGCAGTCTCTTCAGTTTCATCCTCAGAAGAGTTCATAACCCTCTCTTTCTCCTCTAGCGCCTTCCATTTCGCGATGAAGCTGTTGCCTCTAATAACACACACGGGTCGACTTCCCATAATCGTTCGGCGAACCTGCAGCTCGTCAAGCGCTGGGTCGAGACCGCCTTCCTGTCCAGTCTCGGCAAGGACAAGGCCAAGAATTTGATTTGATGGGCTCTTCTTGCACCACCGTCGTAAGAGTAGATGTTCGTGTTGTACGAACGCGCGCGCGAAGGCGCCGCCGTAGGAATGAGCGATAAGAAGGTAAGGACCATCCAACTTGTGCTCGTCGCGTCCTCTGATTCCGTCTGCGGCATTCCTGGTCCCACGGACATAGTCCCATATTTGGGCGGCGACGTCCGCAGCTAGTAAGTTGCCCGGCGCACGATCATAGAGCAATACGCGACAACGTGTCTCCGTCACGAGCTTCGTGGCAAGCTCATCCCAAGTCGGCGAACATGTCTCGCCCGAACCATGGAAGCAGATAATTAGCGGGCTTCTGATCGCTTCATCGGAACCATGGTTATCTGTAGATACATCATCGAGTACTAAAAGTCTGTGTGCGGGATCATGGGTTGCGGCGTGGTCCTGGGACGGGAATGGTGGAGAGTCGACCATAGCTCAAGGTTCTCGGTCCACACAACACATAATAGATATCTAGCTCAACTGCTGCTGTTGGCCATTACGTATGTCTTGGCGATACGGTCTTATTTTCATGAAGTTTTCGAGCACCAGCAAGCACAAAAAAGACCCGGGTGTTCTCATGTATGGTAAGATAGAAAAAGCCAAAAGTAAATGGACGAACGGGGAATTGAACCCCGGACCCCTCCCAGACACACTACTCTGCTAAATCAGAAATGCGAAGGGAGTATCATACCCCTAGACCATTCGCCCAGATATATGTTTACGAGGTCAAGGCCAATCCATATTCGCGAGCCTGTCAAGCAGCAATCCATCATGAAAAGTGATTTGGGGTAATCGATTTACTATTCTCGTCAGTGGGGTTTGAGCAGTATGCTTCATGTGTGTTTGATATTTATTAGGTCGTGCACTGCTTTGTTCCTCAGTTCAGGATGAACGTATTTTCCCCGCAAAAACTGCACGATATCTACCTATGACAGAGCTACAACACTACCAAGGCAATTCTGGTATAAGACATGCGAGCGAAGACTATAGTGCAGAAATGAGAGACAATTGCCTCATGAGTTTTCTTACTTGTCATTTCCCTAATATGCTTCGGCATAATGTTGTATCAGGAGGCGCATAAGAGGTGACTTATCATCATGATATTCAGATCTGCTGTGATAGCGGCCGTGCGCTAGAACAAGCCTAAATTGCTCAACGTTGTCCCTAATGGGCATTTACGAATTCTCTGGCATGGGTCCTCCCTGTCTTGTCATGTCTTGGCCACCCAACCAGCGTCTCCCATTCCGACTTATCTTTCTTGGCTTCATCTTTTTATACTTGTGTGCTGACACTGCCAAGATGTTAGCGTAGATATGTGCCGTATTCCACGAGAATCATCGTTACAGCTTCACTTAGACAGCTACTTTTATTCACCACGCCCATAACATAACAATTGTGCTATCCCGTATCGATGCACTGGCAACATTTATATCCAAGTATCCGATACGGCATTGCTGGAGGAACAGGCACAGACACACAGGAATAGGAACGGGAACTCGGTCGAGAGGCGCGCGCGGGGGATCCCGCGACCGGCCGCGGCCAACTCGATGCTTGCCGAAGATGTCGCATGGCAGATCCGAAACCACCCACTCGACGTTCTAACTCCCATCCTCCGTCGAAAGTTGCGCATCGTCGTCGCGCTGGTGTTGGTCGTGCTGCTATACCTCCTCGTCGGCCTCGTTCCCGAAAAGCACGATGTTCTCTGGGGCTTTACCTTCGTTCACTCGAGTTACGACTGGTCAAAGCAGAAAATATTCTTTCCCGTATCCGAATACACGCCCTTACCGACCGGCCAACCCCGATCGCTACCCCCAGTACAGTATAATTTCACAGAGGACAAGAGCCCTGAAGGCGTTGCGCGAGAGGCGGTCCTGGCATCGCGGCGCAGCGAGGTAAAGGCAGCGTTCATGAAGAGTTGGACGGGTTATAAAAAGGTTGGGTTTAAGTATGACGAGCTCATGCCTGTGTCTGGAGGTGGCTATGATGAGCCTGGTTTTGGTGGATGGGGAGCTACTCTCGTCGATTCCCTTTCGACACTTTGGATAATGGATCTCAAGGACGAGTTTTACGAGGCCGTCGCCGCCACTGCCACCATAGATTACTCTGTATCACAGGACGCCTCCTGCAACTACTTTGAAACCACTATACGACACCTCGGCGGTTTGCTTAGCGCCTACGACTTGAGCAAGGAGACGGCATTGCTGGAGAAGGCGGTCGAGCTTGGCGATATGCTTTACATGGCATATGACACCCCGAATCGCATGCCTGGCTTCTGGCTGGACTTCCAAGATGCCAAAACGGGAAAACAGTTGGCTGGGACCCACGATCCTTCAGCTGCCGTCACTTCGTCATCCCTCGAATTCACCCGCCTGTCACAGCTGACTGGCGACAACAAGTACTACGATGCGATCAGTCGAGTAACACAAGTGTTGGACGACTGGCAGAACCGGACGGATCTTCCTGGGATGTGGCCTACTTATTTCGACTTGCGAGATATGGATTTTACCTCCGATAATAGCTTTACGATAGGCGGACTTGCCGATAGTATTTACGAATATCTTCCCAAAACATTTGCTATACTTGGTGGCCTCAACCCAGTGTACGAGAAACTGTATCGCGGAGCGATGGACACAATCATCAATAATATCCTATTTCGGCCTAAGCTACCCGACCAAGCAGATATTTTATTTCCAGGTAACGTTTGGGTCACGGAAGGTCAGGGGCCAAGTCTGACCGCCGAATCCCAACACCTTGCATGCTTTGCGGGCGGCATGTTCGGGCTGGGCGGAAAGCTCTTTCAGATCCCAGAGCACGTCGAGATCGGCGAGAAGATCACCAAGGGCTGCGTATGGGCATACGACGCACTTCCAGCTGGCATCATGCCCGAGGCCTTTCAAATGCTCGATTGCGACAGCTTGGACCCGTGTGAGTGGAACCAGGAGGAATGGGAGATCATTGGCGACACCACTCTCACGCCAGGCTTCATGAACGTGTCGGACCCGCGCTACCTACTCAGGCCTGAGGCCATCGAGAGCGTCTTCCTCATGTACCGTATGACGGGTGACGCCGACTACCAGGAGATGGCGTGGAGGATGTTCCAGGCAATTCGTAACGGGACCGAGACTGAGCTGGCGTTTTCGGCGATCGAGTCCGTTAGGGTGACTGATACTGTGAAAGATGATTCGATGGAGGTTAGTACCATCAAATCCCTATCCCTCTTCGGAGCGCGTGCCTCTTTTGTAATGGCCGATTTGCTAATCCCGCGTAGAGTTTCTGGCTTTCCGAAACTTTATGTTATTTTTACCTGGTATTCTCAACTCCAGATCTTATACACTTAGACGAATACGTCTTTAATACTGAGGCCCACCCCCTACTACGCCCTACCCCTTTCACAGATAAGTCAGGATTATCTTATGCATGAAGATTACGTCTCGAGCAGATTACGTCTCGAGCAGATTAATTGAGGGATGGGAAGGGGGAGACTATTTAATGATAATGATACCATAGCATTGCGTTGGATTCGAAAGCATGCAGGATGAAGAGCGTGTGTTTTATATCTAATATATCGTAATTTCATGACAGTACAGACGGCTGATGTCAACCTGTGTATGGCTCGGTGCTTTATGTTGTGCAGTGCATGCAACAACACATTTACCATCGCTCGTCTCGCCTGAAACAATTTGATCCGCAAGATTAAGACTCGAGCAAGCGAGAGCCAAGCCTTATTGGTACGCATGGGATAGTTGAAACGCATCTGCATCGAAGCTATTTCTCTACATGATCTCGTTAGCTGTATCTCCGCGTTCAATATGCACATGTTCCATCTGTTGCTATATCCCGTTGTCCCGTTAAAGTTGGCGTGCCCTCACAGTACTCAACAACTCGCATCAAGTCTCCCGTGCGTCCAACTGGACGGCGGTGATTTCGTGTAGATATCGAAAGTGTCCGGAGTAATATGCATCTTTCCCAGTTATCTGTCCATCACGAATGGCATATTACAACCTTGCAGAATTCAGCAAAAAGGGAGATCCCTAGATAAGAGTGAGGGAACTGTCTGCACAGAAGCTCACACATAATATGAAATTGAATTCTTTTCACAGTTGATACTCCCTCTGAGCGACTACTTCTAAAGCGGACTTTAACATCAGTGCGTTAGCACAATCATTCAGTAAAAAAAACCGAGGTCTTTGCTATTATTCTCTTCCTGTTGCTGCTATTATATACTAGATAACGCCACTGTTAAAAATAAGTAAATTTAATTGTAGCCTTTAATAAGGATATATTTTATATGTTATACGAAGGTGCAACTTAAAATTGACCATGATGCCAAGCATTGGCATACAGTGCAAGTTAATAGCGATTTTGAAGCTGCCAGACCACCAAGAGAGCTGGCAGAGCGTTACACCTGTAGATCCCCAGAGAAGTAAGCTCACCAGGATAGTCGCTGATTTCGACTCCGAAAGACGAGACAACTCACGGGTTGAGCCCATGTGAATAACTTAACGTCTGTCACCACCACGCAGCACCTTCTTCGTTAGAATTGCGCCGTCAAGATGACTTCGAACTGTGATGCCGTGCTGCAGACGCCTGAGCTGCTTCAAGAGATCCTGCTTCACCTTGACATGCGCACTCTACTCACGGCGGCACAGCTCGTGAGCCGCCAATGGCATGGACTAATCACAACCTCTCCAGCACTGCAACAGGCGCTTTACTTCGAGCCTATTGCGCCTTCTTCGGACCCTGCGACACAGAACCCGCTACTCTCCGAGCTGTTCCCCTATTGGTTTTGGCAGGAATCCAAGTGCGAGAATACCAAAACTCCAGGACCGGCCCTGATTGGCCGAGAGGAATTCAGTGGTCTTCCCATGGCCCGGAAGTCGCGAAGGCATGCTTTCATGTACCCGGGCGCATCATGGAGACGGATGCACGTTCGACAGCCGCCAGTCTTGAAGTTGGGCCGTTGGACCACGGCTCATGGGCAATGGGGTGACTCGCACGAGATGGAGATCGACGAGGTTCCAGAGGGTCTACGGATGGGTCGTTTCTACGACCTCGCTCAAGGCTGGGTGGGTAAGGTTATCTCGCATTTCGTGGTCTTCTGGGGGCCGAGCGGCGTCGCTACCTACACGACTACGCTATATGGGAGTATGCTTGAACCGATAGAGAAGGGCCAGCTCGAGGCTCTCTCGAGGCGAGTAGACCTGGCTGTGCTTCGACATATGGTCGTGCAATGCTCTGGGGAATACCCCGAGGAGCAGTTTGAGGAAGCTTTTACTTTTCCTGTCTCACATGGACAGGGAGATGATAAACAGCTGCGAGGACAGCCGTCCCGGTAGCCTTGTCTCCTGCCAGGTCCCCTGCATATTATGCATTTAGAAAATATCAGACAGGCTTTGAAAAAAGTACTCTTGATGTGGTTGCAACACGGTCGAATATTTGACTCTCAAGGCATGGCTTACAATCTTCGCATGCTCCCTTCGAAGTATGATGTGCTGACTAACGCGCTCCAAACGACATGGAAGCCCATCATGGAAAGGATTGAGTTAGTCCCAAGCATGGAAGATACTATGACTATTATTCTCTGACCACAATCTATTCGAGTTCCTTTCAAATGCGCTCATCGCCGCGCCCATGCTCAATTGGTAGAAGCTCGTTCTGCACATCGAAGTGGCCTCCGGACGATGTACCCCATCGGATCATTCCGGGTG